TATTCTCGCTATACACCAAGTCACTTGGCTCTGTCATATCCTCACATGGTCTCTCCTATCATTGCTACGCAGACGACACACAACTAATCTTCTCCTTTCCCCCTTCTGATAACCAGGTGGCGAATCGCATCTCTGCATGTCTGGCAGACATATCAGTATGGATGACGGATCACCACCTCAAGCTGAACCTTGGCAAGACGGAGCTGCTCTTCATCCCGGGGAAGGACTGCCCGTTCCATGATCTCGCCATCACGGTTGACAACTCCGTTGTGTCCTCCTCCCAGAGTGCGAAGAGCCTTGGCGTGACCCTGGACAACACCCTGTCGTTCTCCGCTAACATCAAGGCGGTGACCCGATCCTGTAGGTTCATGCTCTACAACATTCGGAGAGTACGACCCTGCCTTACACAGGAAGCGGCACAGGTCCTAATCCAGGCACTTGTCATCTCCCGTCTGGATTACTGTAACTCGCTGTTGGCTGGGCTCCCTGCCTGTGCCATTAAACCCCTACAACTCATCCAGAATGCCGCAGCCCGTCTGGTGTTCAACCTACCCAAGTTCTCTCACGTCACCCCGCTCCTCCGCACACTCCACTGGCTTCCAGTTGAAGCTCGCATCTGCTACAAGACCATGGTGCTTGCCTACGGAGCTGTGAGGGGAACGGCACCTCCGTACCTTCAGGCTCTGATCAGTCCCTACACTCAAACGAGGGCATTGCGTTCATCCACCACTGGCCTGCTGGCTCCCCTACCTCTGCGGAAGCACAGTTCCCGCTCAGCCCAGTCAAAACTGTTCACTGCTCTGGCACCCCAATGGTGGAACAAGCTCCCTCACGACGCCAGGTCAGCGGAGTCACTCACCACCTTCCGGAGACATTTGAAACCCCACCTCTTTAAGGAATACCTGGGATAGGATAAAGTAATCCTTCTACCCCCCCCCTTTCACAAAAACATTGTAAAGTGGTTGTCCCACTAGCTATAAGGTGAATGCACCAATTTGTAAGTCGCTCTGGATAAGAGCGTCTGCTAAATGAAGTAAATGTAAATGTGAATGTACTTCATTTTGACCATACATTTACAGAAACAACACCAAATACATGACACGACACATGAACGTCACATGTACGTCACTGTCACAGGAGCAGGCAGAGAGGGATTCATCACAAATACCGGACATAAATAATCCTTCCCATTTCGTGCCACTGAAATATGAATCATTACCCTGACAACCAGGTATTCTCTCTCTCTGGAGGCACACACACATCCCCCTATTGCAGCGCAGCTATACCTCACCTGCAGGGTTTCAATTTAGCATTTGCTAAAGTAAACACTCCTGAGAACAATATCAATGTAGACCATGGGAAACAAATTAGGTAGATGGCTCTGTCAAGACTTTTATTAACATGTGGAGTAACAAACATGGAGACAGTGCTTTTGCAGGGAGGGAGAATATATGAGAGGAGAAAGCCATGAGGAATACTGAGAGGAATACATTCTACTTAGCATGGTGACATCTCCACATACGCTAATTTACATGTATCAACTGGAGCCACAGCTACAGCCCTGTAAACCGTAATAGAAACTCAGCCGTCTCAGAAGCAAGTACAAAAGGAGAAAGACTTTCACCACCACTGTTCCTCATCTAATGTAGTAAATCACTTGGGGAGAATTAAAATATAGCTCTTTTCCTTTAAGCAGATTGTGTGTTATTGTTGGTTGCCCTTAGCCTCTACCTTTCCCTTGTTGCTCTGTTCTGGGATTATGACTTGTGATTTGCATGAGAGTTTAGAGATTAGATTCCCATCAGGCCAAGGTTTTCTCCTACTGTGGTCACAGCAGGTAGAGATAGCATGTCATTACATCAGCCACAGCTCATTTGAATGCATCACAGTTAGTTATACTGTGAGGACAAGAGCCATTTAGAGAATATTAATCAAATATGACTGTCTGAGGATAGAGGTAAAGGATCTTGGTTTTATGCTCCTGCTGCTCAGAGCACAGTTAAACCAAACCATTAGCACTGCATGCTCAGTATTAGGACATCTTCATGATTGATGATTTCAACCCAAGGACAAACATATATTTTCTAAAAGTAATTCCGGATACCACTATCATTTCAACATTGGACAGCATGCTCTCCTGAGAATTGTATTGTACCATAAAGAACATATTGTATTGTGAACCTCTGACACAAGCATTCCATCACACCGATGCATTCATTCCTCATACTAGTCTGGTTGGAGGCAAAGATTACAGTTGTGGTCAAAGTGGTCAGGGGGCTGAGACAAAGTCCAAAGCCAAATCAATAAACGCTGCCTCAACTTCCCTGTTCCCACACCTTTCCCAGCAGTCGATTTACAGTACAACACTAATAAACCAACAATTACATGTAGTATTGTTGTTGCTAATATCTTAAGAGAGAAGGATAGGGCATTTTCATTTAAATTGGCTCAGCTAAATGCTGCAAAGGTTTTAGCCAAAATACCAGTGTCTATCTATCACAGCCAAGGCATTGTGTCAGACCTTAATTCAGAATATTCCATCAATACTGAAACTAATTAGAGACCTTTACATTCTCCACTACCCTCCTGATGCTCTACAGTATAATGCTATTAATATTCATTCATCCTCCACTGTCAATAAATAGCACACAAGTCCCTACGGCTCCCCTTAGGAGTTCAAAAGCAATTTGTTCTGGCGAGGAACATGGATGCTTGTGTTGTTCCTAGGCAATTTGATTTGAACAAGATTTAATGTTGACTTAACGTTGACTGTAGCTGCAATAAGGGCATCAGACGACTACCAAAATGAGAGAATAAATAAATAAAAAGAAACTGCTATGATTAATCTTTGAATGATTCAGTCAGATACAGTAGCATTGTCCTATAGTAGAAACTCCAAAGGACAGATATGTCTCAGGTATTGAATGGAATCCTTTCTTCTTTACTAAGACTGGCAATTTGAATGACTTTGCTACCTTACTGTTTCAGTGCAGAAAAGACAGACATATTATCCAAAGTATAACTCAATCCCTTTCTGGTTCTTTGTGGATTGCTTCTCTCTGAGTCTGGTCAGTAATAGCTCTTGCCTTCAAAGCAGCAGAGACGCTGTAGAAATGCATCTAGGGGCCATGACAATATTGAGTTCACTTCTCTCTTTCTTCCCACACTGACTGCCTGCAATGGCCTCCAATGGATTACAGGTGCAGAAGAAGTCATTCATATTCCACACAGTGGGTAGGGGAACATGCATTATAGAGAGGGATCAGCGCTGGGCTGATTGGGGTGGTGGTCTGCAGTAGACGTGGCTATTTGTCAATGCAGGACCACCTTGAGGGAGAGAGAGAGAGAGAGAGAGAGAGACAGAGAGAGAGAGAGAGAGAGAGAGAGAGAGAGAGAGAGAGAGAGAGAGAGACAGAGAGAGAGAAACACAAAAATACTGTTTATCTGTTCTCTTTCTCTGCATGTAGCCACAAAGGTAAAGTACAAGTGGCCTGTGGACTGCAGATCCTTATCCGCTCTCCATTGCACTGGCTGCTGCTGGCCCAACATAACAAATGAGACAAGGTAGAGAAGGCCTAATCATATATTAGGAAAGGTTAATTTCATGGACAGACCGCAATGGATACTTCCTGAATTCTGCTACCGCTCGTACCATTTGGTAATAATCTCTCTAGCCTTTCTGAGCACGGCACAATGAAGTTGTTTTCCCCCAAACAAGGACAAGAATATAATGAATTACTCTCAACGTCGGTAATACCCCAGAGAATCTGGCATGGGGGCAAGCTAATACAAATGGACTGACAACAGAATATACTAGAGCTTTATGCTCCAGTTGTACAATTAAAATGATTGGGGTGAATGATTTAGTGAAGTACACCACAAAACGTTCCACTGAATGCTCTAACGTTATCCTCTTGGATTTGTGACCTATACAACAATACCCCAAATACCCGTTTTATTACAATTTCCCAATAAATTGCAAAAACAAAAAAGCCTCTCTCTGCCCTGTGATTTTATTGTGCCTGTATTACAATACTGCAAGGTCGACTCACTCTTGGCTTACCACCTCCAGACTGCTGATGCAAGGATCAGTTCTTATCAGAAGCTACCCTGCTCGTACTCAAGTGAGTGAGTGTGGGCCACCTTATCAACAGACAGCATCTCTTGACTGTGATTGGGGCAAAGTGATTGCGGTGAGGAAACGATGCCCCTTAGTGACAGCTCAAGGACCTTATTACAACGGTTAGAGAGATGGAAGGAACAGCCTTGAGCTGCTGGGAGTGTGGTAGCTACTAGCTAGACCCTTCGCTCCACTTCACGCTCTCCAATAACAGGGTAGGCTGGAGACATTGACACAGACCCCAGGACTTAATGGCATTTCTGGGCTGAAAGAGGCTGTCGCATACATTGTACTGTATTTATTAAGGGGCCTGCCAACCCAAGAAGCACAGTAAAAATAAAACCAGTGGTGGGTGTTCTTTGATAAAGTGAAAGCACTCTATTCAGAGTGGTATCTGACTCACTTCCAGGTTACATACAGTACTTACATGTACTGTATATACAGTAGTCACCGTACAATACAGTGCAATCTGCCAGCCATTGTTGATGCTTTTATAGGCCATGGTTGACTTTGAAAAAGCTGCATTTTAAAGGTAACATAAAGAGAGGGAAATATCAGCCACTTTTAGAGTTAACACAGCAAAGGTTTGCTGGGGTGGAAGAGAGAGTGCAGAGACAAGATTACACGGCATAAAGCCACCCATTTTAATCTCTCTTTCTTTCTCTCTCACTTTAGCAGTGGGCAGTAATCAGCACTACATGAGTCAGAGCTGGGAAAGCGATTAGAGGGCTTTATTTATTGTAAGGCGTGACGAATGGCCAGTGTTTTGGTGGTCTAGCTGCTTTAACAGTAATGATGGCGATCAGCCCACCCAGCCGGACGGGACGTAGGAAGATGAAGGCCCACATTGTAGCCCAACCACCCTGGCACGCTGCCCTCACTGACTCTCATCGTCCTCCTTTTCATCTTCCCAAATGACATCGATGCTCTGCAGAAATACACGCTGGTCCTCTCTGATGAACTGAATAGCCTTTCAGTGCAGCGTGAAAGCTGTGATCGATCACTAGCTCACAGCACGGAGAGAAAAAGCAAACCAAGAAAATGTCCAAACGATTGGCGAAAAACCGAAGGCAATATGTGGAATAGGATTGTCTAAGATAATAGCGATGCACAATCCCTTACAATCTGAATAATTATGATAGATGAAATACTTTGAGGGCAAATCATTTCTATTTGTTCTACTACACAATTAAAAGAGAGAAGGCTTACTTAACATTCTCTCACAGTAAACTCTGCTTCACCTAAATCTCATTTTATCAGAGCTGCAGCAGTAAGAGATGATTATCTGCACAGGAGAATGGATGCTGGAGGCTTGTGGAAAAGGTGTGTGTGTGCGCGTGTGTGTAGCACTCACCTTGTACTGGAACAGTAAGAGGCCACAGAACAGACTATAGAGGTCAGCGGTCAGCAGAGAGAGGTTGACCGACGCGGCGCTGCTCCTTTTGATAACCACGGGCATGAAGCTGTACAGGCCAAACATGCAGGCACTGAAGCCGATGTAGAGCAACCCTGGGGAAGGCCACACACACACAGACACACAGAACATGATGAGTGACAGAGCCGCAGGGACAGAGACTGGACTATAATAATTAACTGCACAGTGCTCTCTAGAATACCAACTAGCCAGCTAGATATCATTCACCTGTCTGTCTATCAAGGGTTGCATAGAAGTGTTTTCTCCTTGTGATCATGCAAGGACAGAAGGACCTTTATGACAGAGTAGAGAGGGGCTCATCGTCCCCATTCATCTTCCCCATTTCCATATTACCCGTGCAGTGATTTGTCCAATTATCTAACATTTTGTTGGATCCTGTGACATTCTTCCTGCATACCAAACGGATTAATCTCTCGTGGGCAGATTCTGCTTGTAGACCGAAGAATCTGTCGGGATTGAATGGGCTGCGCGCGGTAACGAGCAGCATTTGTTCAGTTTTGGGGGGTTTGGCTAAGAGTTTCCTTTTGCGAGGGTGGAGACTTTGTTTTTGCCGGAACTCTCATTTCCTAACACGTATAGACACAGAAGTTAATCACGCAGCTGACCAAATTACGCAAGATTTTACTGCTGTTTTAACCAAGATTACAAACTGATATAAATGGGAATTTAGTCATGTCAGCATTTCCTCATTTACCAATCTTTCACCAAAAACATATATACTTTTTTAAAGGGGAAGGAGAATACCGTTAAATATATATGTCAGGTCACTGTGAAGGTCAATAACAGTGAAACGACAGACATTAAGGAAGAAGTGGGCATCTGAGACAGAAGATGTCGACACAATGACCGACATATCAGAGAGAAGGTGGTCATATAGCGGACGAAGGACATTCTGATAATCTTTTGTCCTGCAGAAACACGGTAATAGGATTTAGTGTTGAAATATAATTACATTCTCATCTAGTTTCAGGATCGGCTTTTTGAAAGACAACTTTTACTGCCTCAGATGAAATGACAACACAGACAGGCAACGGTAATTTGTCTCAAAACTAAACGTAAATAGCATTTATCTGTCAGATTCTGCTCTCAGGCCTTTGCTGCAAATGTCATTTCCAACTACCTCATTCCACTAAAATAAATCAGGATCCTATTCAATCGCTTTTCATTGTCATAGAGTCATTACATATCAGGAGATTTGTCCTCAGGAGAGACAACAAAAATATCCACTTGTTTATCTGTAGAGAGAAAGTACTGAAGGACAGCTGACTACTGATCAGGTGGGCATTGGATACATTTAAACACTGTTTAAATGCTGTGAAGATTACTAGTCCTAATCTGCATGCTCTGGTTTAGTGCATGAATTCATGACCGTCCCAAGCTACTGCATGTAACAGGATAAGACTATTTTTACCAAAACAAAGGTCTCCATTGAAGACCAGGAATTCTCACTGTATTCAGCATTATTTTTATTCCGATCCACTCAAAAAGATATATGCCATTTTCTGTAAGGCCAAGCACAGAGACTTCCTAACCCTGTAAGTTTGATTTGACTTGACTTCCTCACAGGCTCACATGGTTTTCTCCAGGCGCTGTTGGTAGTTGGTGGAATAGCTGAACAGAAGGCCTCATGAGTTATTCAAATGCCTTGTTTACTTTGTCTGGCAGCATACCAGAGAGCAATATGGCCGGCACCTGCTTTCCTTAACTAAGTTGAAGTGTATCTCTGGGCTAAGTTTTAATGGTGTAGTAGTATGAGACTCTGCTTTTAGAAACACATCTGAATGCCATGAATATTCAAATCCCTGTTATTAGGAAGGATGAACTACTGTATATTTGTATGAGAGTTAATGACTACCACCCGAAGAGCATCTTTGAACTATTTTCTGCCTTTGTTTTTGGCTTTCCTATGATCAATAACTGGTTATTAAGAGTAGAAAAAAACACACAACTGTGGTAAACTTGAGGATGGAAGAAACAACAATTGATCCCACTAAGTCTTTGGAGGACGCTCACAATCCTACATTTTACATGACCAAGTCCTCATTATTTTTCTAGGGCAAAGCAATCTTGGCTGAGGAGATCCCTCCTTCTGGCGCCCGCTGTGTTGCTCGCCATGGCAGTGACAGATAATGGCGTGCCCCTCAAGCCACCGCAGACTGGCTAATGCCTGTGACAAGCCAGAATCTCCTGGGACGCTACCCAAACCCCACTATTGGCACCACACGTCCTCGCTTGCTCAATCAAAAGAAAGTGGGTAAATCCAAGTGGATTAAGGACCTAGTCACTTGCTTTGGCTTTGGAGAGCGGCGAATTGCACGTCACAAATTGGGCTCCTGTATCAGTGTAAATGAAAATCGGGCATCTTCATGGGCTACTATATATCATGCTGTCTTGATCGTTTTTGAAATATTCAGTGACCAGTTAATTGAAAATCAGTCACCTTAATGGGCTACTACATACTGTAATGTAGCACCCTCTCTGGCTTGTTTGTTGCAAATGAAATATTAAGTGAACCGTCCTTGTTTTAAGCAAATAAAGTGCATCCATATATCAGTTAGAGGACACCTTCATCTCCTACCTGTAATTCATGCGGCACAACAAAATGTTCGTAAAAGTTGACACCATCCCTTAGCCGGCATGTACATTTTGACTATACAGCGACGGCCCATCCATCTTAGCTCAGGGCCCCATCTCCTCGCCCCCCCTACTTCATTTGCAGAGTGATCTTCCAGTGACACCCCTTACAGCCTAACTGATTGTGTGAGCAGGATCTGACACAGCAGGGGAGGGGAGGAGGAGGTGTGGGAGGGCATCTCTGCTAGACAGGGCAATCAATTCCCACTCTGCCATTGTTTAATCATCCCTGTATCACCCGCTGCCTTCCTGCCGATCCCCCCCCCCCCCCCCCCCCACACACACACACACACACAAACACGGGCTGCTAACCAACGGTGTGAGAGAGAGCAGCATGTAAATCCCAGTAACAGTAGCTTACCTATCTGCCAGTCCCAGGGCACCCTTAACAACTCCTTGTGTTCCATGATGGCCCTGGAACAGAAAGAAAAAAACTATTCCCGTCAGCCAGAGGTGAGCTTTGTGAGATAGGGAATACAACAGAGTGACTGTTGGAGGGAGGAAAGTAAGACAGGAGGATCATAAGCAAGTCTCTTGACAGAAAAGCTCGGTTTTGACAGCTGAGCACCTGTGGTTCTGATGAGTCAGTGACAAATCAATCCAAGCAGAGCGAGGGGGGGTTTAACTCTCTGACCCTACAGAATAGATCCTGGGAATTCTATTGATGGAATCCTCTGACTCCAGAGGGGCACTAACAATAGAAACAACATGGTAGACCATTTTCCCTCCATCACCCCCCCTCCGTTCCAGACAAGAGGAATGGAAAACAATCCACCCAGGTCTCACTTTGTGACATCTCTGTGAAAAGCATCATTGACAAGGCGGTGCTGACGTGTTACCAAGGTTACGGTCTCGTCTGGTGCTCCCGTGTTTAAAATTAACATCAGCGAGAGACAGAAACAGAGACAGGTCCCCACGCTCCCACTGTCTTCCCCGGTCGGGATAATTTCATACATAACAAGTGGATAAATACGTGGAGGGAAGACAGGCGATGTCTCATAACTAGGGTATTTTATCATTCCTCTTTAAGCCTCAGAATGAGCTCATTAAAAAGTAGTCAAACTGAACAAAAATATAAACGCAACATGCAACAATTTCAAAGATTTTATTGAGTTACAGTTTATATTAGGAAATCAGTCAATTGAAATAAATTCATTAGGCCCTAATCTATGAATTTCACATGACTGGGAATACAGATATGCATCTGTTGGTCACAGACACCTTTAAAGAAAGGTAAGGGCGTGGATCAGAAAACAGGTGAGTATCTGGTGTGACCACCATTGCAGCGCGACATCTCCTTCGCATGGAGTTAATCAGGCTTGTGGCCTGTGGAACGTTGTCCCACTCCTCTTCAATGGCTTCAATCTTGGCAAAGGAGAAATGCTCACTAACAGGGATGCAAACACATTTGTGCACAAAATTTGAGAGAAATAAGCTTTTTGCGCGTACAGAACATTTCTGGGATCTTTTATTTCAGTTCATGAAACATAGGACCAATACTTCACGTTGCGTTTATATTTTTCTTCAGTACAGTATTTATTATGTTGTCTGGGTAGAGTTTGTGTATTAGAGTGTATGTATGTTTTATCTGTTTGTTTTTTATCTGATTTTACAGCTCGCTTGAGTTACTTGGTTTGGAAGAGAGTTCCATGTAGTCATGGCCCTATGTAGTACTGTGCGTTTCCCAGAGTCTGTTTTGGACTTAGGGACTGTGAAGAGACCCCTGGTGGCATGTCTTGTGGGGTATGTATGGGTGTCTGAGCTGAGTGTTAGCTGTTTGAACAGACAGTTTTGTGCTTTCAACATGTCAATACCTCTCACAAAGACAAGTAGTGATGCAGTCAATCTCTCCTCTAGTTTGAGCCAGGAGAGATTGACATGCATGTTACTGATATTAGCCTTCCATGTACATTTAAGGGCTAGCCATGCTGCTCTGTTCTGGGCCAACTGTAATTTGCCAATGTCCTTCTTAATGGCACTAGAAGCGCTGTAGAAAGAAAAGTAGATAATATGACTGCATGGGGCTGCTAGCGAAGCCATCATCTGATCTGGAGAGAGAAAGGCTGAATACTATAGAGCATGCTGGTGGGTGTAAATGTTAAATATGGGGCATGTCTTTTGAGATATACTGTAATTAGCTGGCACCAATGGCTGTATCAGCTGGCAAATGCCACATAACGTATAAACGAGGTTCACTTTAGGTTTCCAGCTGGCTAATGTGCTGTATATGTTAGTGTGTTGGAGCAAACATAATGTAGCATCACAGTTCTCAGTTCCAACTGGCTGCTCTTGTGGTGTTGGTAGAAAGGGATACTGTCTTCAGTATAGTATAGATGAGGCTGGACACACCAGACCTGAGTTCAAATATTATTTGCTTTAGCCTGCCTGGAGTGCCTGATTGGCTGGGTGTGCCATTATGGGACTATTCTATTGGTTCTATTTAGCCAGACAAGCTCAATGAAGCACAGCTTAAGTATTTGAAATCATTTCCAATATAAATTTTAACCCAGGTCTGACACACACACAAACACTCACAGTTGAATGCCGCTGAAGAAGGAGCCAAACAGTCCCATCATACCCAGGAACTCCACCCTACTCATGTTCTTAACGATGAACTCCTCACACACATTAGAGATGCCGTACAGCGTGGCCCCTCCCAGCACCAGCAGGTCCCCCAGGAGCTTATGGTCCCCTATAGAGAGTGAGAGAGAGAGAGAGAGAGAGAGAGAGAGAGAGAGAGAGAGAGAGAGAGAGAGAGAGAGAGAGAGAGAGAGAGAGAGAGAGAGAGAGAGAGAGAGAGAGAGAGAGAGAGAGAGAGAGAGAGAGAGAGAGAGAGGGGGGGGGGGATTAGAAGAGCACAATGTTCCAATATCCTGTCATACATTTACATTTAAATTTACGTCATTTAGCAGACGCTCTTATCCAGAGCGACTTACTGTATGAAAGAGCCATTAGTTATCCATGACAAATAGATTATCCTATGAAACCCTCACCAGTAATATCAGACTAAGTGGCTATCCTATGAGAAAAAATATATATGACAATGAGGCAGTGAAAGACATTTGGTGTTTAAGAGGTACAGAAAGCAACTGGGCTTGAGTTAATATATTGAGTAAATTTAGGATTTTTACATTTTAACAGAAGAAAGAGTTTCATTGATTAATTAATCTTCTTACTGTTCACTTTACTGTGTTTAAAATAACTATTTTCACCATTTTAAGCAACATTATTGTGTAGCTGGTAAGACAAATAGGCATTATTGATTGGAACCTGACACCAAACAATTGCATTGTTCCTTTATTCCTACATGCTTAGTGCATACTGTATGCTGCAATGGGTTTCAGTAAGGTATGTATAAACTGTACCCAATCAAACAAAGATCTTACAGATGCTTAGCACATGCTTGAAGATTTTAAAATAATCTCACTATAATGTAACTATTCTGTCAATCATGAGACAGAAACACAACTACAGCCGTGTGTTTTCAACGAAACTCTAAACTCTTCGGATCCAGAACACGTAATATGATTTGGATCGTAACATTTATTATTCATATCGAACCAAAATGCAATATATCTATCTAAATCTTGTTGAGCTGGGGAAATCAAGGGGTACTTAATGCAATAGTGAGAGGGGGAGGCTGTCCATGGATGTGTAAGGCAAACCACACCAGGGACTAACACCGGGGATCTGACTCGGTTATTACTGAAGGTACTGTGAGGTGTGAACACAATGAGACCGTGATGGTGAACTGCACAGTGAGAACACTGTCTGTGTGTTGGAGGAGATGAGGGTGTTTGTGTGAAGGACACAGCAGACTCCACAATAGCAATCAAAATATGTTTAAAGCTAAAGCTCTTCAATGAGTCAGAGCTGTACACATTTGAGTCTTTGTAAAAGCTCAATTAATGTAGGAATTCAGATAATTCAATAACACTGTGTTAATGACCCATGGGGAAGTAAGGGTATTCTGTGTGTGTGTGTGTGTGTTTGTGTGTGTATGTGTGTGTGTGTTACCTAGGCCCTGTTGTCTTCCCACCAGGACGTCTGTCCCCACCATTAAGCCAATGCCCAGCAGACACACCCCGACGCCCACAAAGTGCACGGCCTTGTACCTCACCAGCAGGAAGAACCAGGACAGCAGCAGCACCACAGGGATGGTGAAACAGTCTAAGAGCTGACAGACAGAGCGGAGAGATACAGGGTTAGAACGGACACACTGAACTCTAGTTCATAGAGACACACAGAGAAAATAGTTGAAATGGAGTTCTAAGATACTGTACACCACATAGACAAAAGACACACCTAGATACCAGAGATGGTATCACAGCACCCACCACAGTCCTGGGGTGACACATAGGACAGCGGGGACACACGGTACTATAGAGGACGAGGTCAGAGGACAGTCCAACACTAATGGTGATGAGAGAGAATGAAAATGGCGAATTAGGGGTGATGGAGGGTGGCGTGTCAGGGAGGAGAAGGGGCCATGCGGGAGGGAGGAGAGGAAGGTTTATGATCGCCTAGGGGACCATCAGGCCTCCATTCCGGGAAGCCTCTCTGGCACTTAGTGGTAGCACTATGGGCTCACCCTCTGGGAAAGGTAGTGCACAGGAGAATGAGGGGCTAACTGCAGGACAGCAAAATGGCCCCCCATTACTGCTCACAGTGGCTCTCCTGGCAGCTCACAACATCGATGTATGCAATGAATGTTCTGACACCTAAGACAACCCTGGCATAATAATGTGTGGTTTTATCGATGTGTAAACGACAGCCCAGTATGTCTCACTCTCTCCTCTCTCATCAGGCCAGTGTGTTTCTGCCTAATGGAAGGCTTTTTCACCGCTTGGTTATATAAACCTGTCTGTTACTGTAGTGTAGCGTGCCCTTGAGCGAGAGAGAGTGGAGAGAGAGAAAGAGGAGGGAGGGAACGAGAGGGAAAATCACAGAGAGAAGGAGAGAGAAAAATAATGAAAGAGAGGGGAGAAGGAAGAGAGGAAAAGGAGCAAGAGAGAGAGAGAGAGCAAGAGGTGGTCCTCTGTAGCTCAGCTGGTAGAGCACGGCGCTTGTAACGCCAAGGTAGTGGGTTCGATCCCCGGGACCACCCATACACAAAAAAAAAAAAAAACTTATGCACGCATGACTGTAAGTCGCTTTGGATAAAAGCGTCTGCTAAATGGCATATTATTATTATATTATAAGAGAGAGAGAAAGAGGGAAGTGGAGCAAGATAAATAAATAAACAGTGTGGAGTAACGATAACCCTGAAAGTGAGTGAGTGATTGAGGTTGAGTTCTGTGTTCACTCTCACCTGTTCTCTCAGTGCTATCTGGGGAACAGCTCTGGCATTAAGATGACAACATTTACAGTGAATTACTGGCAAAATAATAGACCTGACATACCAGCAAACTAATGAAACCAATACAATTATCACAGGTCCTATGAGGTTTAGCCAAGTGAGGAGAAAGAATTATTCGATTTATTCAGTCCTAATAAGACTCTGCTTAACTCTGCCGAATAAATCTTCAACTAATTCCTTCGTTTTACAGTGGTTTGTCCCCAGGATCGCGGCTGGCTACCTGCATATCTTGAAATGGAGGACTGTGAGTAGCACACCCACAAGTGCTATCTATACCCATTATCACAACTTTGCTAAATGACTAAAATGTAAAATGTAGCAATTGAGATAATGTCCATTCAGATGTAGGATCTTAATTTGATCACTCTTTTGGCTAGCAGGAAATGCAAACGTAGTGTATTTGAGGTTTAAAAAGGCTTTTTAATTTCCACTTGGAAATGTCATACTTGATTTGCCCACATAATAATTCACATTTCCTGTTGCTGCAGGATTCTTTTCCTGCTGTAGCAAACTGGCTCAAATAAAGATCCTACATCTGTAGCTGCCTGTTGTAACGAGTTGATGAAGAGGAGCTTTCCCCGGATGTGCCCAGCCAGACACCATGACCATTCATAACAACTAATAATTTCCCCTTAATTGGAAAGTATTTTATAGCACCAATTGAGCCCTGTGTAGCTCAGTTGGTAGAGCATGGCGCTTGCAACGCCAGGGTTGTGGGTTCGATTCCCATGGGGGGCCAGTATGAAAAATAAAAAATAAATGTATGCGCTCACTAACTGGATAAGAGCGTCTGCTAAAATGACTAAAATGTAAAACAAATCTTATGCCCAGTTCTCTTCATGCCTGCATATTAATATTGATGAGGCATTGTCTAACCTCGTTATAGTTTACATAAAACTGTTGAGAATTGGTAGCCTATTTCTCTCCTCCACCCTCCCAAAGGAATCAGTCAGTGAAAGCCAATTCAACTAAATAGCAACATCCCCTGCACAGAGGAACAAGAGGAGAATATGACTTGGCCTTAGAGTGAGAGAGTCCATTGATCAAGTCTCCAACTAACAACCAAACTTACTTCATTTGAGTTCACTTGACCTGAGCTGCTCTCTAAATATCATACAAACTTGCACAGCAGACCTCGAGAAATATCAATTTATTTTCAGAAATTACTGAGGAGTCCCAGTTTGAGTTATAGCTGTTTACTGAGTCAATATTTACTGTGATTCAATGAGCACCCCTTCCTCTGAATGTTTAATCACCTCGCCATATGCTCAGGCTGGGTTTACTTTGGAGAGAGAGCTGCTGCTGTACAATGCTACTCTCAAATATCTCTGTCTCAGCAATGTTGAAGAGAGTCACCCTATCACTCTCGTCACCGCCCGACCTAGTCACTCAGTGACAGTCACACCATGTAGATAGATCCATCGCTGTGTAAACAGTAGCTGCAGGCCACTTGTGTGCTTGTCACATCAGTGCGTTGGGCTGACTCTGGGTCAGCAGGGCATGGAGGTACTGATCAACTCGTCACTGCGTCATCCAGCCTGTCTGTCTGCCTGTGTGTGTGTCTGTCTGTCTGTCTGTCTGTCTGTCTGTCTGTCTGTCTGTCTGTCTGTCACAGGGCCAGACCACAGGGGAATGAGGTCTGTCTGTCTGTCACAGGGCCAGACCACAGGGGAATGAGGTCTGTCTGTATTTCTGTCACAGGGCCAGACCACAGGGGAATGAGGTATGTCTGTCTGTCACAGGGCCAGACCACAGGGGAATGAGGTATGTCTGTCTGTCTGTCACAGGGCCAGACCACAGGGGAATGGGAATGAGGTCTGTCTGTCTGTCACAGGGCCAGACGACAGGGGAATGAGGTCTGTCTGTCTGTCAGTCACAGGGCCAGACCACAGGGGAACGAGGTCTGTCTGTCAGTCACAGGGCCAGACCACAGGGGAATGAGGTCTGTCTGTCAGTCACAGGGCCAGACCACAGGGGAATGGGGTCTGTCTGTCTGTCTGTCACAGGGCCAGACCACAGGGGAATGAGGGGATTCTGGTACCTTTTACACTTCCCCTACTTTATTTCAACAGAACAGTCAGCCCTCCACCCCACTGGCCCTGACACTCCCACTCCCCCTGCTTCAGCCCAGAGCAGGACTCAGGCCCAGGCCATGGATTATCTCTCTCTGCCGTGAGACAGCGGTGCCGTGCCGGTCATCGATTCCACTTCCTGAAATAACGGTGAGGCGGAACAGTCTCGAGTGGCGGCCGGGGGATGATGTGAGCTGAGCGTTATCTGACGGATATATACCCTGACACTCCATCTGTTTTCTGTCTGGCTGAGTAGAGGCAGAGGCCCACGAGCCGACAGTAGGCACATTTACATGGTTCCCTCCCTACTTGCAAATGGAAAACGACAAATCTCCATTATGATCTGAAGAGGGAATTGATATATTTCTTCCGATTGTTGTTGATACCTCATATTCTCAGGCTATCATACACTTGACGAATGAAAATGACACTGCAACAAGCTGTATAGACTACTGTGAAACTACTCAACTAATATGGTTGCAGTACAGCATGTACACCACAAGTGCTATCTATACCCATTATCACAACTTTGTTTATCACAACTTTGCAGTTGGCACTGATCTAATTTCTCCTCTCTAATTCTCTCTGAGTGTGAGAGGCCTGTATGTTGGAGGAACTAGAAGTGTCCTGATTAGCTAGTGGAGTGTTAATGGTACCGTCTGTTCCTGTTCAGCCCTAACTGACTACACTGAGAGGAGAGAGTTTAGGGGCCTGATTTATTACTAGAGAGGGGATACCGACACACTCCACACCATCTGTTTCCCCAAATCTCTGCAGCCACGGGGCCCCTGGAATTGATCCTGAGTCCTACCTGGGCTCTGGAGGAGTGGAGGAAAATGCCAGATTCAGGTGAGACTAGAGGAAATGGAGAGGATCTGAGTGGATCTGAGTAAGGCTCCTTTGGCACTAAGCACATTTGAATGAAGATGAACTGACACATGGGATGAGAGTCAGCCAGTGTACCTTTAATTAGCCATCTTATTATGTAGACTCAACAAAGGTCACTGCTGTATTACTGTCTTATGCCTGTTCAGTGGCCAGTCAAGGGAACGTCTAGGGACAGGCTTGTACCTACACATGCACCCATGCACCCCTGCGCACATACACGCACACCTATGGGTCACGTGATAAATGAAAACAGACTCACCTGTACGCTGGTTAGTGTGGTGTATTGGTAGGCTTTGATAACCAGGTAGTTAGCCTCGATGTCTATCAATCCCAGAATCATGTACTTCCACCATCGCCTTTTCAGTATTGCCAGTAAATTCTCCTCACCTGTGAAGAAAATAAGAGAGTTAGTTCTAAAAACGTCTGTTCCCACAGGAAATATAACTGTGCTCATGAGATGTTGTGGGTGGATATAATTGTCATTGTCTAGGGATAAGTGCGTATAAGCTCCTTATAAGCCTTAACATAATGAAACTACCGTATATAAGATTTCCCTTTCAGCTTCAGTGTGTGGCTAACATTTCAAATTAATTAGAAGACAGATACAAAGAGGGAAGCAATTAACATGACAAAACAAACAGATAAACAAAACCACACATGAGAGAAGTCAGGCTTTCCCAGAGGATCATGGGAGGAAAAAACGTTTCTGCAATCTCAAGAGAACAATGCAGTCACCGGCTAGCTAGTTAAACCCAGTTTCTATACAGCTAGCATTATGTGCAGTAATCTCTAAGCACAACAAGCCCAACATGAGAGTATCCTAAAATGGCCGCCTTTCTTTATGACCATAATTGGCGAAAGAAAGCTCTCTAGGATCAGAGTGTGGGTAGAGAGAGAAAGAAAGTAAGGCAGGAGAGGAGGAATAATTGGAGACAACAAAGAAGTGCGTGCAGACTTTCAGCCCAACAACATTTCAAGAGGAGCGCGTGGGAGGCGTTCAAAAGGTAATTATTTTCAGCCTCAAAAACATCAAACTGTCAAACACAGGTTGGTGGGGTTATTACTATGGCAGCTATAGTGTTGTACACTGATACCTTTAGAACAATGATACATCTAAGCTAACTCTCTGTCTTTGTAAAACAAATTGAAATAATTCCCATACTCGAATAATTACAAAAACATGTAACAGATGCACTGAAGGAAATTGTCTAATTACCCTGCATTTGCATATTGACAGTCTTTCTAAGCACACAAAAATACGCCACCAGTTGTGCAGCTGCCTAGAGTGAACACAAGTGTAGGACGAACAGAAACATTTGTAGGGAAATTGTTCAAAATGGCTTCCATTTCTTGACTGGAGGAAGTTTAGTATTAAGTATTTTATTAGGATCCCCATTAGCAGCAGCTACTCTTCATATGGTCCACAGGAGTGCAGAGTGCAGTGCATTGATGGGGAGCCGTTTCCTTTCCCAGACTCTGATGGTTCTGTGCTCTACTAGCTAACAACCATATTCACTGATTTCCACTGGGACGTGTTCTAGCTAAAAAAAAAAAACACTGGGTACGGGTCACACAGCACAGCAAACATTACCCACCCAGCCTGCCTGCCAGCCAGCCAGCCAGCCAGCCAGCCAGCCAGCCAGCCAGCTAGCCTGCCACTGTTCACAGAGAAAGGTAAATATTTCCTAAAGATACAGTTGTATTTACTTAGCTATATGTCTGTGTCTAAGCGTCCATCTCCAAGAGCAGGTTATCTGTTAGGTTAAACAGGCATGTCATTGTATGGTCTTTCTCTATCAATCTCCTTATACCTAGACAGTGTAAAGTCAGTGAGGAATAGGTTTATCTTTTACCATTCCTCTCTACGACAAAGCTATAAAGATAAACAATCTACATATATTCTAAAGCATTACTGTTACTGTACCTCACATATCTACAGTAAGGATCCAAGTTCACATGTTGAGCTCAGATTCACTCAAGCAGCAGCATCATGAAAAAGCTTGTCCTCCCCGCAGCCGGCCGAAAACATAATCAACAGGAGGAAAAATCCATTAAAAAAGCAATCAAACACCTCTTATTAGAGCCAAGTGTCTCTAAGCATGGTATTATCACAGCTTGCCTGGCCCTCACACACTTTATTTGCTCGTTGGGTCAGTATTCCACTGCCATTTCCTTCATTTCAGACACCGAAAAGCAATTTAAATGTTTCCGAGGAAATCATAAAAACTCTCCAGACCTGGTTAGAGATGCAGAGGAGACGTGATGAGTATGGGATCAGGATATGTAGCAGGCAGCAGCTTTTAATAAGGCCGGAATAAGAGAACATTAACCTGTCTGGGTAGTGACAGTGAAAATGAAGCTAGCTAGCTAGCACAGGTCCCCTGGCACTCCTCTGGGTACACACACTGATTGGCCATGTAAAAACAATTAAACAATGCTACTATAGGAATAGATCCTTCAGAGCTCTGCATTTCAATTACTCTACCAATTAAAGCACTACTAGTCCTATAACTGGATCAGGAATAACAAGACCATTGGATGGTAATGGTTCCTTAGCAACCTCATTGTCCAAACAATTCTAAACACTGAGGTCTTTATACTGAAATCATTGCACATTTACAAGACTGCACAATGAGATATGAAATATGTGCATAAAATAAATGCACCTAAATGATCCAAAACATTCACTTACTCTACAACCAAAATTTCATTTTTAGAATCCTTGACATCTATCTTTTTCATTGCAGGTTACAGTCCCCAATTATCTCTTTTGGCCTGCTGCACCTGTAAATGTTAATGCGTGTGTCATTATAGTGACATTTACTAGATGACCAGGGGCCTGGGACGGAGCAGAGAGGTGTCACTACGGAGCTTGTTAAGAGAACTGATAAGGGCTAACAAGCTAATCACACTAGGCTGCAGCACAGACAACCACCTTTCAATATAGGGTTGTCTCCTCTGGCAAAGGATACATTCCTGTCACATACAACAGATCCCAGACCTGCTGAAGACATTATATGCATATGATCTGCATATGAAATCCATTTTGCATACAGTACAATGCTGATTTTGCATACATGTGGCCAGCTATTTCTGGAACAGAAAGCCCAGCAGCACATGGCAGATGACAGAGTTGTGCCAGGGAACAGTAACAGCAACAGCAGCAGACAAAGGAGACAGACACTGTGTCCATTCCAGCCCACCTCATCAAGCTCCGTGGCCAATGGCGGTGTCTGGGGACTCAGTGTGCAGGCTAATGATTGATCCTAGGTGCTTTATCAGTGCTCATCTACCAGACAGGCCTATCTCTCTCCCTCAGACACTAATTGGGATGCTTCTAAATCTGCTCTAATTTGGACTCAGGACTTTTCTCTCCTCCCCCTGTGCCTCTGCCAAGGGTACTTAGAGGGAACTTCTAGTACCTAGCTAAAATAAAAAAATAAAAAAGGTTAATCATTGTTGAAAATCAACGTTAAAATCACACCTTGCTTACTTGTCAACTTCAACATCAGCCAAGGTTAGAGAGGCGTCTTACTGCTTAGTGTTATAGTGTGAGTTATCGTCGTGAAGAAGGTTTCCCCGGTGGAACGCTGACTGTCTCAAACAGAGGAGGGAGATTGGGCCGCCCACGCCGTCGTTTCAAACACTGGAAGTCCCTTTTAATCAACGCACCGTTATTCGCCGAGGTGTGCAAATACGCTCTATCATTGTTTACACACAGATAACCACAAGAGAGCCCATCACTAAGTCACACAGATCATTGGAGCCCAATCACCTGGCCTTCTGTTTGCATTGTGTCTGATGTGATGCTTGTTGTCTCTAGTCTAGTCTAACAGACAGAGATCAGAAGCTCAGTGAAGGATGGAGGGGCAAGAGGCTGTAAGAGGGAGGGAGAGAGGGTGAAGGCTCTCTCACACACGCCAGGGTTGGGCTCAATGCAGAATTTTGGAATTCACTCCTATTCCGTGTAGCTCAGTTGGTAGAGCATAGCGCTTGCAACGGCAGGGTTGTGGGTTCGATTCCCACGGGGGGCCAGTACGAAAAATGTATGCACTCACTAACTGTAAGTCGCTCTGGATAAGAGCGTCTGCTAAATGACGTACATGTAAATATTCAACTCATGAGTTGAAATTCAAATTAAATTGGCCACACCCCACAGGATGTAGAATTTGAATTTTAGGTTAAATCAGTGTAATTCAAAGGAATTCCACTGTAGGCCGTCATTGTAAATAAGAATTTGTTCTTAACTGATTCTATTATTGACTTACCTTTTATCTAGAATCTCCAGTTGAAACTAGCTAGCCAGCTAACTAGCTACTTGCTATTAGCCACCGTTAGCGGTTTTCACCCAGAACATCAGATTTTCTGCCGGAATAACTGAATCACTGGACATTAACACCGGATCGCAACTAGCTAGCCGCAACCGGATGGATGTTGCTGTTGGCTAATCACCGCTGCCCCCGAAGCAAGCACCAGTTAGCCTCGAGCTAGCCTCGAGCCAGGCCTGTATCCCGGCTATCTAACTCTCTGTCTACCGGACGGGAGTAGCCAGCTAACTAGCTACTTGCTATTAGCCACCGTTAGCGGTTTTTCACCATTGTCCGTGGCCTGCACTACCTACCAGCCAGCTCTAGCCTGGACTATTATCGGCCAGTCTGCACTGTCTGCACAGCGCGTTATCGACCCAGAACATATCGGTTTTTCTGCCGGAATCACTGAATCACTGGACCTTTAATACCGGATTATCGCAACTAGCTAGCTGCAACCAAATGGATGTAGTTGTTGGATAATCAGCCCTGAGCTAGCCTCGAGCCAGGCCCATCTCCCGGCTATCTACCTCTCTGTCAACCAGACGGGACCTCCTAGTGTTGACACGGAGCCCTGCCGTTCCAACACGACTGGTCTGCCGACGAAATCGTCTGATGTGGTTTCAACAGGCTTCCCGTTACGACGTCGACCACGAAGATCCATCTGCTAGCCCCGGCCCGCTAGCACACGCAAGCCGTGGCCTCTTGCTCGCCAGTTCGGTAGAAGCCCTCGAACTACCTCCGAACTCTCCTATTGCTGTTCACCGGACCTTATAATAACTCAGCTATACAGCTGATGCCTGCTGGACTGTTCCTTTATACGGTACCGCATCCTGTTTATGTTTAGCCTCAGCCCAAACTTTGTCGCCATTACCAGCTGTTGTCTTAGTTCTCTCGAATAACACCTGTGATTGCTTTATGCCTCTCTCCCATGTCAATATGCCTTGCTTATTGCTGTTTCGGTTATTTCTTATTGTACTATTTCACTGTAGATCCCCCAGCCCAGCTCAACCTTCCTTAGATAGCTCCTTTGTCCCACCCCCCATACACGCGGAGACCGACTCAATCGGTGCCTCCAGT